GGCAGCCGAAAAAAGTGGTGTTTTAGAAATTTTTTAAAACTCCCTTAATTTATATTTTGTTTTTCAATTCAAATCAAACTGATTGTTTTATTTGATTTAAATGTAAATTTGAAATCGAAAATTCAGCGGACTCTTTTGTGGACGAAAGCTCGGACCCGGAATTTTTATCTGTAAATACCATTTTTTATTCCAAATCTATTTATACAGGGTGCTTACGATCATCAACATTCACTTTTCAAATAAAAACACCAGCTTTGTATTGCAATTTTGTATTTTCTATTGAATTCTACGTATGATCCAGGAAACAAGTGCTGTCCTTAAACTCAACAGTTATCGAAATTGTGATTGGCCCTACCAAGAATTAATACTTCAAATTTCTGTAGTCCTGGAAAAGGCCGATTTGTTTGAAGAAACAGCACAACAATCAAATTAAATGTTCAACATGTGTGTCATTCACAGGTTGACAAAAAACTCTGTACCTGAATCATCATACTAAGGATTCAACGGAGAATCCTTAATTGAAATAAAAAATAGGTACTTTCATTTGAAAAAATTAATCTGATGGTGGTAATTTATTTTTGAATCACCCTGTATAAATATATTTACAAATAATAAACCACATTTAGAATAGAAATTTACGAGTTTGATATTTTTCCCAAAAAATACACATCTGAATTTTAAATGACTTTACTCACTGTATGCAGGGGTTTTTATAAGATCTAAACACTTAATTGGGATCAGCTTTGCATCATATGTATATCAATATGATAAGAATTTTCAATTCAAGACATTGTAGTTCGACCAACGCAGGGCCGTTTTGGATTTGATTTTTTTTGAATGCATTAAAATAGCGATCCCCTACCGCAAACAAATAAATTTTGCTTGCTTTTATCCCGGCGCGGAACGTTTTGTTTACTTTGGATTTTTTGTTTGATTTTGATTCAGCGTTCTGACAGGTGTTAAGTTAAATAAAAATAGTCAACAAGTGAATGTCTGTTACTAATTTCTTAATTTATGGGCTGGAAAGAACAGGGAATTTCAAAGAGATTTAAGTTAATTTTCTTTGCTAAACAAACATTCCCAAGGTGTTCGCTTTTTTCGCGTCTCCGGTTAATTTTGTGGAGGGGTACTAAACGGCTCATTTTTCAACAACTCATACTAAAATTAATAACATTACAAAGGACTAATTATAAATGGCGATCGAAATGCGACTTATTTGGAATACACTTCACAATCCAATGGAAAATTGCAAACAATTCAAAGTCCAGTTATTAGACACTAGACTTAATTATCACAAAAGGAAGTTAAGATCTTGGTATATTATAATGTGCTGAATTCGTTGTCGAGTTAGCGTTACCAGATAAAATCCGTATTTTGTCAAGAATATAGAATTACTTAAACACGTCGTCCAGCGTCTTCTTACAAAAACTGTAAAAGACCCTTTGCTCCTAAAGTTGTGTCGATTTTCTCTTGAAACATCATCACAGGTGTGAAATGTCTGAAACTCATTTCGAGTCCAAATAGGCCTAGAACTTACATATAAGAAATACGATACGTCATTAGAATGTAAAACAATTCATGGTGAGTATTATGATTTGAATTTGGAACGCTCAGCTGAAAAGGGTACTTCATTTAGAAGGAAAGTTTTATTTAAAATTAGTCGACCAAATAGCATTGCAATTCAACGATCTTTTACGTAATAGAATCGCACATGAATATTATATTAAGAGTTAGAAAGGAAACCCGACCGACCTCATTTCGCAGCCAATCTCCACCACAACTGCAATTTTCAATTAAAAAAGAGCGTAATTACACCAATAGGAAATATTTCATTAATATCATATAGACAGTTTTACCCTCGAAATTCCACTTCCGAACTAAATAAATATGTCAAACGCACAAAATTTAATAGACTTAGAAACCGCAACTAATTTCGAGGTAGAACGCTGAGGGGAGTCTTTAGAATTGCTAAACGAGATTTTAGGCAGGTAAACTACTATCAGCTAGAAACAAATAGTTATTAATTAATCTTAAATGGGGGACCCAATATTATGGAAAACGCCTACTCAATAGGGAGCGTAAGTCCTTTCAAACCCCCAAAAATACCTGCCAAACATCACAAGGAAATCAATGGATGTACAGGGTGTTTCCTCACAAGTTGACACCTCCCTACATCGTTTACTTCAAAAAAAATTGTGAGTGACCATAACAAAAGTTGCCAAAAATGACAAAATTTGATATAAAGTCGTTTTTTCTTTAATGGAACATCTAATGTATTTTCAGACAGATCGAATAGATTTTTTCCCTGATTTCAGAAATATATATATTGCCTTTACAGGGTGATTCAAAATTGGCGTCATTCCTCTGGAGGTGTTGTCTGAATATTAATTGTTATTAAAWAYTAAAAAATCTGCAAAAAACGTGAGAAAACGGCAACAATGTTGTTTTTTTGTATTATTTTTAAAAAAWWTTACATAGCAACGAACTAATGGAGCCTGAAATGACACAAAAACTATAGAAAGACAACATAGCTGAATTTATTGCTACTATAAGTGTCTAAACAAGTAAATAAATAAAAACAAAATCATTAAAATCACTGATTGTGTATATGACCTCCGTTTAACGCTAGACATGTTTTATAATCTACTTGAGTTTTATCAATAACGTTTTGAATATATTGGTTATGAGTAATATTAATAACGTTAATTGCATCCACTATTTTAAGGCATCTATCTACGGTCTCCTACACAATACTCTATAAATAACCCCAGAGAAAAGAATCAAGAGGCGTTAGGTCGGGACAATTTGGAGGCCATTGGATAGGACCCGCTCGTCCAATCCAGATATCAACATTTTCATTTCAAAAAAAGGCTACTGGACAAACGTTATGGGGGTGGAGGAAGCGCTTTGTATTTTGATTTGTTGCTATTTATAATTTTTGAAACTTGATATTGGACAAACGGCTGATATAAATATAGGCAAATTATATATTTTTGAGATCAGGAAAAAAATCCTGTTGGGTATGTCTAAAAATATACAGGGTTATTCACGCTATACGGCACGGACGTTTGCGGGTAGCYCRTTTGTTTTTTGCAAAGTATTATTTGAKGAATCCACAGACGCTTATAGGGTACACATTTTAAAAATATTTTTGTAAGTGTGTGTCCCAAAAGCCCTAAAAGTATCAAAGTTGTGTTTTTCTAAATGAAATACCCTATATATTATTGCATTTTTGGATTCTCTGA